TAGAAAACTGAGGTTCGACCACAGGGAGAAGGTCTGATAGCTGGTCAGAGTAACTGGTACTCGGAGGGTGCCGTGTTGCCATGCCCACCTCGGGACTCGGTCGCGAAGCCAGAGCTTAAGCGGTCTCATATGAAGCAATCCGAGTGGCTTTACCGCGGCTGCAGATGCCATATGCCCCAGGAGCCTCTGAAATAGTTTCAGTGGAACCGCACTCTTGCCCTCGAATTGTCTCAGGCAAGTCAGCAGTGACTGCGCACGCTCACTCGTAAGCTGCGCGGACATGGCGACCGAGTCGATTTCCATACCGAGAAAAGAGATCCTCTGCATGGGGCAGAGTTTGCTCTTCTCCCAGTTGACCCGAAGGCCCAGACGAGCTAGGTGCCGGAGCACTAGGTCCCTGTGTTCGCAAACCTGGTCTCGAGAGTGAGCTAGTATCAGCCAGTCGTCGAGATAGTTCAGGATGCGAACCCCGTGTTTCCGAAGGGGGACAAGGTCTGCCTCGATGACCTTCGAAAAGACGCGAGGAGACAGCGCTAGCCCGAAAGGGAGAACCGCGTACTGGTATGCCTGCCCCTCGAAAGCAAACCGTAGGAACGGTCTGTGTCGAGGGAGAATGGAGACATGGAAGTAGGCGTCCTTCAGGTCGATCATTGCAAACCAATCCTGGGGCCGCACACATTCGAAAATGTGTTTGGCTGTGAGCATCTCTAACCCGCTGGGGTCGGCTATCGCGCCGGCGCGACGAGCTCACTTTTTTCCTTATCAGTGCAAAAGAGACTCAAATTACTCTGTTGATTTTGATCTTGCATATAAGTGTTGTACATCATTAGATCCCGTCAAGTGTCTATTTTTTTGTGGATACTCTCAATAAAAAGTGTTCTGCTTTTTGTCAAATAAAGAAAAATAAACATGATGCGAATTTTGCCTTCTCTCTGTACTGTAACTAAGTAAATACTTGTCACACAGGGACGAAAGAGTTTTCGTTATGAAGCTGAAATTCTCTTCTTTTAAATGAAGTAATTTATATAAAAAACAAATATTCTCAGTTTATGTAATCTGTATGAAAAGAGAGAGATGTCAGTCTTTTTCCTTTCAGCTAATTTTAGCTTATTAAGTGTTAATGTGATACGCCCATGGAGAGCGCGCACTATTCAAATGCAAATGTTGAGGCAAGCCATGCAAACGCCCACATCAGCTGGATAAAACATCCAGTTTAATAAGAATCTTGTACTTTACCTACTCTTGCTGCGCTGTGAGGAATAATACTGTCGTAATAATCCTGGAAAAGTTACCTCAGTGCTGGTAGTTTCATTTCAAGGAGCGGATTCAGCTGATGTAGAAAGGCATTTATTCTTAAGTGCTTTGTTCTAATCGCGTTATTGAATAGTGTCTGTAAACTGCACAAAGACTGTTTAAATATGAATTGCGTGTCTGTGTGAATGAATGAATGGCACAGATGCACGCGCTATGTTCAATTCAATTCAATTCAAATTTATTTGTATAGCGCTTTTCACAATACATATTGTTTCAAAGCAGCTTTACAGAAAGTGCATTTCAGAAAGTACATAGAAGAATATAGTTAGTTAATCATCATGTATTAATTTAGGGCATAACATATCGCCGGCGTTGAGTCGTCTCTTCGCAGGCGTCGAGTCGTCTCATCGCAGGCGTTGGGGCATCAGAAGTCTTCGTGAGAGGCTGGATACAAACTGGAGCTGACGAACGCTATTTACCTCGGGACTAGCGTCCCGAGATAACAGCAGAAAAGCAGATGGGAAATAATTAGCGTAGCTGCTGTTCATAATATTAATGCATTCGATCTGATTCAACAATAGAAGGTAAGCATTATGTGAATGCTTGGCTGAAGAGATGCGTCTTTAATCTAGTTTTGAACTGGGAGAGCGAGTCTGAGCAACGAACAGTATCAGGAAGGCCATTCCAGAGTTTAGGAGCTAAATGTGAGAACGCCCTCCCTCCTTTAGTGGACTTAGATATCCTAGGAATGACCAGAAGCCTCGAATTTAGGGATCTTAAAGAACGCGATGGATTGTAGGGCGATAGAAGGTCCATTAAATACACAGGAGCTAAACCATTTAGGGCTTTATAGGTCAGTAGTAGTACTTTGTAATTGATACGGAACTTAATTGGTAACCAGTGCAGAGATGATAAAATCGGTGTTATATGATCATATTTTCTTGACCTAGTAAGAACTCTAGCGGCTGCATTTTGCACTAACTGTAGCTTGTTTATTGAAGATGCAGGACAACCAGCTAATAAAGCATTACAGTAATCTAGTCTCGAGGTCATGAATGCATGAACTAACTTTTCTGCATCAGAAACAGATAGCATGTTACGTAATTTAGCAATGTTTCTAAGGTGGAAAAAGGCAGTTCTTGTAACATATGAAATATGATTTTCGAAAGACAAGTTTCGGTCTAGTATAACACCCAGGTCTTTTACTGTAGTGGATAAGGTAACAGGACATCCTTCTAAATTAAAGTTGTATTGTAAGAGATTTTGTGGGTAGTTTTTTGGACCAATAAGTAATACCTCCGTTTTATCTGGATTTAATTGCAGGAAATTACACGTCATCCAGTATTTTATATCTTTAAGACATTCTGTCAATTTAGATAAGTTAGTGTTTTCATCTGGTCGTGATGAAATATATAATTGAGTGTCATCAGCATAGCAGTGGAAATTAATTCCATGTTTTGTAGTCGATCCAAGAGTATTTTGTGATCTATAGTGTCGAACGCAGCGCTAAGATCGAGTAGAACTAGTATTGAGATACAGCCTTGGTCAGAAGCTAAAAGTAAATCATTTGTAATTTTAACTAGCGCAGTTTCTGTGCTATGATGCGGTCTGAATCCTGACTGAAATTTTTCATATATCTCATTTTCTTGCAAGAAAGAGCACAATTGAGCGGACACAATTTTTTCTAGTATTTTAGACATAAATGAAAGATTTGAAATGGGTCTGTAATTTGCTAAGTTATTTTGATCTAATTGCGGTTTCTTAATAAGAGGTTTTATAACTGCCAGCTTGAATATTTTTGGAACATGACCTAAGACGAGCTATGTTGTTTACTACAGATGTACATTGCATCTGTGCATTCATTCACGCTCGCTCCTACATTAGTAAACGTTATTTTTACATGAACACATCCAAACTATATTGCTATAGCCTACTGAGATTTGTTCTAATCGCGATATAGAATAGTGTCTGTAATGACAACATTTCGTTGACGAGTTTTGGATAGATTTTAAAGTTTTTACTCTAAAATAGTCATCAAATAAGCTTTTGTTAGACAGTTTCTGCTGTTAAATATATAGTATGTTTTGTCAAAAATAAACTAATCAACTGTTATAGTGTTTGTTCCAATGCAAGCTAGGCTATATCAAAATAATGAATCCTTAACTTTGAAATATGTATGATAAAATGTATTGGCCTACTTAAAAAAAAAAAAAAAAAACTTTATAAGAGATTTATGGAAGATGTTTCCAACTCTAACTTTGAACCAATTCTATAGAATGGCCCATATAACCTATTTGAACAGGATTTGTTTCCAGGTATGACTAAAAATGTGCTTTTGACTTTAATTTATATTTTGATTTTATATATATATATATATATATATATATATATATATATGTGTTTGTGTGTGTATGTATGTATATATATATATATATATATATATATATATATATATATATATATATATATTGTCCTTGCATTCTTTCTTGTGTGACACACCTGAACGAAAGGCTCATTATGCGGGTCTTTGTCATCTCAGGTGAGAACCACGTAATTATTCATGGGGGGGGTTGGGCCGTTCACGCCCATTCGCATATTGCCTTTCCAAACAATTTTTTTTTTCACAATTTAAAACAATCTATTGTTTTATGTGAATGATTAGGCAGGATGATTTTCAGATCATTTTAAAGCAAAAACTCTAGGCGACAACATCCATTAGTCAAACGTCTTCTGGGCACATATTTAGTATGTGTTTTTTGGCCTTATTTCAGAAACTTACATTTTTAGTTTTTACAATAACCATGCATAAACAATATTCTCTCAAAAATACAAACATGTACATACATGTTGCTCACATATTATGGTAGCCCTGTTTGTGCTACATAGAGTTTAATTTCACCTGTGCCATTAATATGTTTATAAGCAACTGAAAAAAGCACAAATGTCAGGGCATGTCAAAACATCTCAAGGACCCCAAAAACACCTGAGACCCCAGAGGGTTAACGGCAGCCTGTGAAGGGAGCGGTTCAGAACTCGCAGTTCCAGGATTGGCCGTAACCCACCGGATTTCTTCAGGACAATGAAGTAGGGGCTGTAGAAGCTGGACCTCATTTCGGCTGGAGGGACAGTCTCGATCGCACCCTTCGCTAGTAGGGTAGCAACCTCCGCTCTCATGACAGGGGCATTGTCACCGACCATAGTGAAGCGGACTCCCCTGAAGCAGGGAGGAGACCGCGCGAACTGAATCGCATAGCCGAGCCTGATAGTTCGTGCGACCCAGCGGGACATATGGGGAAGCTCTAGCCAGGCTCCCAAGAACTGCACCAGCGGGGTCATACGAACCACAGACGTCCCCTGGGTGGGGCAGCGAAGCGGAGTGACCGGCCAGGGCGTGGACAGCATAGTGGCCCGGTGTGGGGGCACGGTCATCAACCGCACCCTGACAGAGGAGGCCAGGGAAGGACCAGCGTTCTGGCGACAGAGGGGGATGAGAGCGGTATGGTCCGGGGACGGCACGCACTGTCATCCGACTCTGAGATAGAGGAGGATGAGGGGTGCACGGCCCGAGGGCGGTGCACCGTGTCGTCCGAGAGCTCTGTGTGCTCAGGGGTGAGGGTGTCTGTTCTAAATTCCCTATATAAGAGTACGAGAAGGACTTTTATTATGAATGATTACTGTATACGCTGCGCTGTTAGGTAGCGTTAGTTTCCGGCACTCCGCTATTGTGTTTACTTTCACTTTCAGCAGCCGTTTTCTCTGACATTTCCTCAGGTGTTAATGTGCGTGATTGAATGTAAGTTATTCATTTATTCACAGTTATAAGTTGATGTATGTTTGTTACATTGTTGTATTCAAATATTTAGCTAGTGTAACCGAACTTTACATTGTGCATAACATGATAATACGAGAGTTATATACAGTGATTCACGTGTATATGTTTGCAGCTGTAATCCTATGTGACGTTGGTTTATATATATAAATAACGTGTCAGTAGTGAGTTTATGTTTATGTTTATGTAACTTAAAGTTATTAGACATACACTGATGTATATTTGTATTCTGTTTATTCTAGAAAAACCACATTCAATACCTTGTACATATAATCGAAACTCAGTACAGCTGGATGATGTCATTGTGTTTGAATATTCAAACCTATAAAGAGTTTAACGGTTCCCTGTCTCCTGTCACGCTTCTTACCGGAGCCCCGTAGTGGATGAGCATTCACCTACCTATATTCAAACCTTACATTCCTCAATATTTGGTCCTTCAAGCCGGATAGCTACACTCATTACGGTGACATGGAGCAACAGAGTCAACATAACTCTCCTGATACCACACATCCTGTACGACCACAGGCCAGAGCGCGTCAACTCTCAACACGTCTGCAAGCTTATGACATTACATTACCTAAATCTCTCATACCTGACCATTGCCTGTATGACACTTCATACCACCAGCCAAGGATGGATCACCAAACAGCACAGCTAAACCTCAGTGGACTGGCCGAGCCAGTCTCGACTGTGGATCAGCTTTCTATTAGTGAGTTATCTCTGGTGCAGTATGGAGCAGCAGGTCCAGTTACATGTCATATGGGCAGCGTTGATAATGGATCTGGTGTTTCTGCTAGACAGTTAGATGCTGAGAGATCCTTTATTCATTCTAGTCCACCGGTAGCCCAAAGAGAATATCACAGTCCATCCGCATGTGAATTACTCAGCAGTGGTTCTGTTTCGCCTTCACTTCGAGATGAAGAACAGGCTAGAGCTATGTCACCGCTTGTGGTCAGACTGAAAGCTACTGCAGCGCCATCTATCCCAATTCAGGATGCAAGCCAGTCATTCCCAGCTGCTATGGCCACCAGAGACATTTCTCAACAGTCAGCCCCATGGCACATGACACAAACTACGACAATGGCTACATATGGTACGACTCCGTCAAACTTTGGTGTCTCACATTTACCGGCACCACATGTAACTCTCCATCAGCAAACATTATTCAGTACACCAGATTTCCGTCCTTCATATCAGCTTACCTCATCATTGCCACGTACTGTTACATCGGTGAAGCTGCCTCTAGTTACAGCAGCCTACACAACTGGTGTGCCACCAGCCTATCAGTTACAGACTGTTGTGCCAGGCCAACCACCACGGCAGTCATTCACCATGCCAGACCCTAATCGACCTCCATCATCGTTCCCAGGGTATTATGTCACTCAGCCTTCTACACATATTCCAGGACAGACCTGGTATGACTCTCCAGCTACGTACCCGCCACCACCTCCAACTCCTGTTCATCGGCCAATGCCTGCAGCACTTCCACTCCAGCCAGTTCCAATCCCAAAATTACCGAAGCTTGTGAATGATAGTGAGAGAGAGTTTACGGATCTGAAGATGGCTTTGGACAATCTCCTCAATCCTCACACTGAGCTTACTGAACATTATAAATACAGGGTGCTAATGGAACAGTTAGTTCTGGAGGAAGCAAGGCTAATAGCCCAATCATGCCGACATTATCCTGCGCCCTATGCAGCAGCTATGACAGCATTGCAACGACAGTATGGCCAACCTCATCAGCTGGCACAAAGTGAAATTGCATCTCTGTTAAATTCGCCTGATATTAGAGCTGGGGATGCAAAGGCTTTCCAGAGTTTTGCACTCAATGTTGATTTGTTAGTAGGCATGTTGATGTCCATTGAGGGGCCACAGGGACGAGAACTCACTTGCACGGGCCATGTTGACAGACTACTCAGTAAGCTACCCAAGCACTACAGAGATAGTTTCATTGAGCACCTCCAGTTACGAGGCCGACTGAGCACTGACAGCCTCAATCCGTATAACCTCCATGACCTCGCTGACTGGTTGAAAGTGAAGGCAGAGGCTCAGCGTCTGTCATCTAAAATGGTACAGCGCTACCAGACGGAGAGAGTTCAAGCCCCCCATAGAGAACGTCAACCCATTCCGAAGCCCCAAACTCGACTCACTGCAGTTTATCATGGCAGCGACCAAGCCAAAGAGGTCAGTACAGTACATTTTGCCCATCCAGAGCCCACACATGGTCAGCAATTAGTCAAGAAACTGAAACGTCTGTGTCTGTTCTGTAAAAGTCAAGAGCACTACTTGTCACAGTGCAGTCAGATCACTGAGCGCTCAACTGAACAGATTCTCAAGTGGATAAAGGACGGCAAGAGATGTTGGAAATGTGGTCCCACCAGTCATAAATGTGAGGAATGCACGCTAAAGAAACCTTGTAGAGAATGTGGAAATGTACACCTCAGTGTCCTGCATTCTATCGCTAAAGAGGGTCCCAACCTTGTGTTACTTACGATGTCTGCCGATCGAGCATATCTGACTTCCCCTAGCTCCACAGGACGTGTGTACCTGAAAGTCGTCCCAGTACTGCTGTGGAAAGGCAAAAGGTCTGTACCAACATATGCTATCCTAGATGATGGGGCCCAACGGAGTATTGTTCTTCCAGCAGCAGTTCAGCAGCTAGGACTTGCGACCAGGGAAGAGATTATGGCCCTTCGCACCATCCGACATGATGTCACAGATTTGAAGGGACAGTCAATTGATCTGCTGATTTCCACACAGTCAAGTCCAAATGAGAAGTACAGCCTTACAAATGTGTTTACAGCTCCTCTCCTTACGTTAACTGAGCAAACCTATCCCATTAAGAGGCTTCAGCGATGCTATTACCACCTCAGAGGAATTCATCTTCCATCCTTTGATAAGGTGCAGCCCCTTCTCCTAATTGGGTCTGACTATCCGAACCTGATAACAGCTAAGGAGCCCATCAGACTAGGACCAGTTGGTGGACCGGCAGCTGTACGTACACAGCTCGGTTGGGTTCTCCAGGGACCAGATGGACTTCTCCCACATCAGGTACCGTCATCACAATGCTTATTCACTTCCCTTACTCCAATTCGAGATCCTGTTTACCAACATGTTGAGCGATTGTGGCAATTGGACGTCCTCCCATACCGCAGTGAAAAGCTGATAACACGGTCAAAATAGGATCAAGTGGCTGTGAATATGCTGGAGACTAGAACACAACGGGTAGAAGTTAATGGCATCTGGCGTTACGCTACTCCACTCCTTCGTGCACGGGATGGCCCACCTTTGAGAGGAACAAAGGAATCAGTCTTGTCCCGCCTCAGGAACACTGAGAAGCATCTCAGCAAAGACACAGAGAAAGCTCAGGTGTATGAAGCTGAAATACAGAAACTCCTCGATTCAGGGTATGTTGTTAAGGTACCACCGGAGAATCTGCTGTCCGATGAGGAGTCATGGTTCATACCACACCACCTTGTGCACCATAATGGCAAGGACCGGCTGGTTTTTAACTGCTCCTTCATGCATCTGGGTATCTCCCTTAATCAGCAGCTGCTTCCTGGTCCTAGCCTCGGTGCCTCATTGATGGGAGTTCTCCTTCGGTTTCGGCAGTATCCGGTTGCCATTAGTGGTGACATACGCGGCATGTTTCACCACGTGAGACTTCTACCCAAAGACAAACCCCTGCTAAGGTTTATTTGGAGAAACATGCGAAAAGAGGATCCACCTGACGTCTACGAGTGGCAAGTCTTGCCTTTTGGGACGACCTGCAGTCCCTGCTGCGCTACCTTTGCTTTACAGACACATGTTCGCAGCCAGCAGCCCGGAAACGAAGAAGTACTGCAGTCTATAGAGCGAAGCTTTTACGTTGACAATTGTCTACAAAGTCTTCCCACTGCTACGGAAGCTAAGCAACTGATCGACAAGATGAGACCTCTTCTAGCCTTAGGGGGCTTTGAAATAAGACAGTGGGCTTCTAATGTTCATTGTGAAGATTGGCCGTCGCACTAAAAAGCGATGGGGAGTCATCTTCAAGTGCTTGACGACCAGATGCATTCACCTCGACCTCCTTAACAGCATTGATGCGGATGCATTTTTGTTGGCACTCAGACGATTTATAGCCCGCAGAGGGACCCCATCCGAAATCCTCTCGGATCAGGGGACCAATTTCCGAGGAGCTGAGACCGAGCTAAGGGAAGCATTCAAAGTAATGGAACCTAAACTGCAAGATCAACTTTAAAATGAATCCTCCCGCCGCACCACACTTCGGAGGCGCATGGGAAAGGGAGATTAGATCAGTAAAGTCTGCCCTGCGTGTAGTTATCGGGAGCCAGTCGGTTCCAGAGGAAGTACTGCGTACAGTACTGATTGAAGTAGAGGGCATTCTCAACAGCAAGCCATTTTTGCAGCTGTAATCCTATGTGACGTTGGTTTATATATATAAATAACGTGTCAGTAGTGAGTTTATGTTTATGTAACTTAAAGTTATTAGACATACACTGATGTATCTTTGTATTCTGTTTATTCTAGAAAAACCACATTCAATACCTTGTACATATAATCGAAACTCAGTACAGCTGGATGATGTCATTGTGTTTGAATATTCAAACCTATAAAGAGTTTAACTGTTCCCTGTCTCCTGTCACGCTTCTTACCGGAGCCCCGTAGTGGATGAGCATTCACCTACCTATATTCAAACCTTACATTCCTCAATAGTGTCACTTCTTTCTTTAACCACATTAGGGTGCTGCCCACCCGAGGGTGAGCAGCAGGGAGTGGAGAACAAAAGATTCTCCCCCGGCCCTATACCGGGGGAAGGAGTGGTCCTGCTACCATCTCCTGAGAAGTGACAGTCATCCCTGAGCAGCCCGTCTCAGGAGCGCCGCTTGGCCCGGCGTTTAGCGGGGGCGGGGCTGGAGAGGGCTGGGGTGCCTTCTTGTGGCTTCCTCCACGACCGGGCCTGGGTGAAGGCTGCTGCTTGGGCCGGGCGGGAGGGGTGGGAGCCGCAGGAGGGCGCCCTCGGTGGCGAACAGACCGAGTAGTCTGCCCAGTCGACTGGGTGGAAGCAGCAGCAGGGCCGACAGGGCAGAATGTGTTTGATGGCCTCAGTCTGTTTCTGAGCAGTCGAGAACTGTTGGGCAAAGGCCTCGACTGCACCGCCGAAAAGGCCGGCCTGGGACATGGGGGTGTCGAGCAGACGGGACCGCTCGGCATCCCACATGTCAGCCAGGTTCAGCAAGAGATGTCTCTCCTGGACCACGGCTGTGGACATCACCAAACCCAGGGAGCGCGCGGTCACCTTCGTCGCCCGGAGAGCGAGGTCGGTGGCGGCTCGCAGCTCA